TTCTGTGTATTCTTGCCACCTCTTCTTAATATCTTCTGCTTCTGTTAGGTCTATACCATTTCTCTCCTTTATTGTGCCCATCTTTGCATGAAATGTTCCCTTGGTATCTCTAATTTTCTTGAAGAAATCTCTAGACTTTCCAATTCTATTGTTTGCCTCTGTTTCTTTGCACTGATCACTGAGGAAGGCATTCTTTAAGTCTATTCTTTGGTTCTTAGAAAAGGAATTGATATAGTAAGGATTTTAAGTATCAAATAATTAAAATGAGGAAGAGACTAAAGTTTCATTAGAGATATTTGTTCTTTAATAATTGTCTTCAGTATTAATAAATCTAGAATAAATTAATAGAGGAGTTTCAAAATAGATTTCCAGGGTTAGTAAAGAAAACCAGGGCTTTATACTTTCAGCTCAATGTTCTTCAGCTCACACCGTCCTGATTTTTTTTGTCCTCTTATAAACATTCCTCTCATTCTGGAACTGTTCCATTTTCTGGGAGATACCACCAGCAAAGGAAACTCGTACCCTATTTGCATGCAGCCCTTCCAGTACAGTTTCTAAATGCCACATTTCCCCCACTAGAGTTCATTCCCTGATCTTAAAAAAGAAATCTCCATCTTATTGCTTAATAAAATATATGGATAATAATTTGGAAGATGTCGTTCTTCTATTTCTCCTATTGAAAAGAAAGAATACATGAATTGAACTGGGTAGGGAAAATGGATTTAAGGCAGTATTGAGTTCTTAGGAAATTGAATTTATAAAATTCATAATGTGAGATTACATTTTATGTTCCTCTGGGACAGAAAGCACTATGAGCTATCACATGTTACATTAACTCATTTTAGATGCTAGCTTTTGACTGAATCTTGAGGGATATAGTTATATTTCCTACAGATTCAGAAATTGAAAATGAAGGAAATTTGCAAGTCAGTTATCTAAAGATATGATTCACAAGTAGCATTTAAATATGATATTATCATTGCATATGTGTATATCAGCAGGTTATTTTCAACCAGTTATAATTTAAGCACTGTTTTGATACTGCCGTTAGAAACTAGATCTGTCTTATCTCCAAGCTACAGGTTCAGTGGGCAGCTTCTTCTGTTTTCTGGCTAAACTGTAAGGATCTGACGTGGCACCTTTGCAGAGACATTGTTGTGGACGCTGGCCAGACCTCAGCATCTTTTCCTGACCACTCTATGAAAACTCTTCTTGGAAGCACCTTGGTTCACCATTAGTAGATCTGGTTCATGCTTCTTTTATCTCCAGCATGTCAAGCCCTGTCCAGTTTTTAAACCACTCAAATCCAGGGAAGCTGGTTACTGCCCAAAGCAAAGGGCCCCGCAAGGCTAAGCCATTGGAAGTCAAACATTTATCAGCTTACACATTTCGGAAAAATAGCTCAGGGGTGAGTCGTACTCTGGCATTTATTTAATTTTTTCCATCCTCAGGAGGAAGAGGTAAAACAGCCTCTTACATAAGCGAGAGCTAGCAGAAAGGAAAATTCGGTTCTGTTTGCCCCCTTGCCTGTGGAGCACCTGTCCAATGCATGATGCAAGACATGAGTCAGAGATCTCACTTCTGGTTCCTGACTTAACTCTAGAACAAGCAGCATTGAAACTTCTGAATCTAATGGAACCTCAAAGTGAATTTTACCTTATTTTTGCCTTTTTGGTGATTCTGATATTTCACCAAGGCCCACAATCCCAAAACAATATACAAAATAGACTATAAAGGGCCTCTGAGTTAATTTGATCCAACCCTATCATTTTGCAGATTAGCAAACTGAACACTGGAAAGAGGCCACAGTGATTTAAGGGCAGAACTGAGTAGTCTGACTCATCACCTTTCTGTTGTCCCATATTACCCCCTTGATATACAGTCTCGTTTTATTAGGGCTGGACCACGATGAGAGTGTTTCTGGAAATTAAATACCGTCTTGGGTCAGATGATATTTTTAAGACCATTAGACAGATCCATCTATTCTTTAGCTTGCAACTCCTAGGAGATGAAGTCTGAGCTGTGGGGTAAGGGTGGGGGCTTAGGGGATTGGTTTATTTCCATCCACTATTGTTTTTAAGTGAGAATAATTAGCCTAGTTTCTTCCCTAGGAAAGGAAATGTATTACATTAAAAGTAAATAAGTCAACAGATGAATGGATAAAGAAAATGTGGTATATGGATTCTTTAAAAAGAATATTCTTAAGCCTTTTAAAAAAAAGGAAATCCTGCCATCTTCAACAACATAGATGAACCTGCAGGACATTACACTTAGTGAAATAAGTTGAACAAAGACTAATACTACATGATCTCACTTATATGTAAAATCTAAAACAAACTTATAGAAGCAGAGAGTGGAATGGTGATTTCCTGAGGTGGTGGGAAGAGGGAAATGAGGAGATGTTGGTCAAAGGGTACATTAGTTATGCAAGATGAATAAGTTCTGGAGATCTAATGTTCAGCAATGTGACTATAGTTAACAATACTGAATTGTATACTTGAAACTGCTAAGAGTTTAGATCTTAAATGTTCTCATCACACACACAAAAAATGATAACTGTGTGAGGTGATGGATATGTTAATTAGCTTGATTGTAAAGATTATTTCACAATGTATACAAATATCAAAACATTGTTTTAATTTTCAACTATACCTCTATGAAGATGGAGGAAAAAAGTAACTGGTACAATGAAGAAGGACATTGTTCTACAATCTCTAACTCCTTTCCAAGTGCATAAATGCTCATAAAACCCTCTAGGAATATAAAAAAATTGTTTTTACCATTTTTAACAAATTTTAACACCATAAAATATATATTTAAATATTGGTACATTATGAAGTTTATATTAATAAAATTGTCTTATTAGCATGTCCTCATTTAACTATGAACTTTATTTTAAATCAATTATAAAACAAAATGCTTGAGTTTGTAACAAGTTTAAAAATAGCATGTTTTCAAAACAAAAAATAGTATGTTTTCTTTGGGACTGTGTGTGTGTGTTAGTTGCTCAGTTGTGTATGACTCTTTGCCATCCCATGAACTGTAGCCCGCCATGCTCTTCTGTCCATGGGATTCTCCCAGCATAGATACTGTAGTAGCATGCCATTTCCTACTCCAGGGGCTCTTCCCAACCCAGGTATCAAACCCATCTATTACATCTCCTTCATTGACAGGTGGAGGCAGATTCTTTATCACTAGCGCCACCTGGGAGTGAAGTGAAGTGAAAGACGCTCAGCAATGTCCAACTGTTTGCGACCCCAGGGACTATACAGTTCATGGAGTTCTCCAGGCGAGAATACTGGAGTGGGTAGCCTTTTCCTTCTCCAGGGGATCTTCCCAACCCAGGGATGGAACCCAGGTCTCCCGCATTGCGGGCATGTTCCTTACCCGCTGAGCTACGTGGGAAACCAGTGCCACTTGGGAAGCCCTATGGAAAAGTATAGAGACTAATACACCAGCTACCTACATTGTGTACTTAAATTTGCCATTTCCCTCCAAATTTGCTCTAGTTGTTCTTTTAAGAAAATAAAACTTCACTGATAAAATTGAAGACCATTTTGTAACCTCTCATCCTTCCCCATGCATGTGTGCATGCTGAGTCACTTCAGTTGTGTCCAATTCTTTGCCACCCTATGGACTGTAGCATGCCAGGCTCCTCTGTCCATGGGATTCTCCAGGCAAGAATACTGGAATGGGTTGCCATGCCCTTCTCCAAGGGATCTTCCCAACCCAGGGATCGAACCTGCATCTCTTACGTATTATGCACTGGCAAGCATGTTCTACTCTAGCGCCACATGGGAAGCCCCTCTTGGGGTGGGTAATATAAATAAATTTGACAGTACAATCAGACATCAGCCAGTAAGAATCTTTGCCACTCTTAGCTCTAGGGCAAGTCCTGAGGCCTCTGGCATTAGTCATCTTGGTAAGGGAAGTGAGTGGATTCAGGGTCTGGGGTGGTGAGAGATGAGGGCATTAGGGTAGCTACTATTACAAGTCTATGTGAAAGTACTGCTGGACCATCCTGGACCTTTTTTTTTTCTTTTCAGAGATAATTTCTGAAGTAAGTATATAGTCTTTGTGTCCATGTTTTTAATGTTTCAGTTCAATTCAGTCACTCAGTTGTGTCTGACTCTTTGCGACCCCATGAATCGCAGCAAGCCAGGTCTCCCTGTCCATCACCAACTCCTGGACTTTGCCCAAACGCATGTTCATTTAGTCGGTGATGCCATCCAGCCATCTCATCCTCTGTTGTCCCCTTCTCCTCCTGCCCCCAATCCCTCCCAGCATCAGGGTCTTTTCCAATGAGTCAACTCTTGCATGAGGTGGCCAAAATATTGGAGTTTCAGCTTAAGCATCAGTCCTTCCAATGAACACCCAGGACTGATNCTACAAGTTTAGGAGTTATATGTTGTATGACTTGTTTTAATAGTATTTTAGTTATTTTAAAATATATACTTAGCAAAGTTAACTGAAATTTTTAGTTACTCTTGAGAAATCTGAATATTTTATAATGCTTTAAACTGTTTTTCTCTTCTCAGTCTATATGCTTTTATTTTGTCCTGCACTGGTTCTATTCTTTATTTTCAACTCCATAAGCCACGATTTTAAAATTAATGTTTATGTAATTGTGTCCACATAATATTTACTGTTATTTTTTATTCACTTTTCTTTCTTGTATCTCAGACTTTGTGAGTTCATTTTCTCTCTTTAGAATTGTCTTAAGTAAGGGCCTGTTGGTGGTAAATTCAATTTTTGTTTGTCTAAAATGTGTTTATTTTACTCTTAATCTTGGAACATAATTTAAGTAGAAATTCTGGTTGGCACTTACTTTATATCTTTGATTTGAACAAGTAGTCCTGTCTTAGCCACTATTTTGAAATTTGAAAGTGTGCTTTTAGCTAACCAAGCCATACATGAATCAGCAGCAATTCTGAGATGCAGCCCAGATGCAGAGATGTGAAAATTTGTGCCTCTTACACTCAGTGAAAGATGATATGTTTTTCTTAGTACGTTACAGATGTCATTTTGCTGTTTCTCAGCTTCTGTTACTATTGAGAAGTTGCTCACCTAATTGCTATTTTTTTGTAATTATGTCCTTTCTATTATCTGCTTTTTAGATCTTTCTTTGATGTTCTGTAGTTTCATTATGAGTGTGTTGGTAAAGAAATTTTTTAAATTTACTTTTCTTGGGACTTGCTGAACCACTTAGATTAGTATCTTTCAACAATTCTGTAAAATTATCAAGGCATTATTTCTTTAAATATTGCCTCTTCATCATTCTATAGAATATAGCCTTCTTGGCCTCCAAACAGACATATGATAGACCTTTTCATTTTAATCTCTCTGCCTTAAACTCTCTTTCACCATTTATTTGTTCCTGTATGCTCAAAAATTTCCTTCATATTTGAGTTCATTCATTCCTCAGCTATGTCTAATTTGCTTTTTAATGTGTTCATTTAGTTTTCAAATTAAAGTTATTATACTTTTTATTTCAAAAAGTTGTTTTTCCAAAATGTTTTCCAATGTTAATTCTTTGTGGTCTCTTGTGACTTAGTCATATTTTCAAAAGTTCTCTTTATTTTTTTTAAACATTCAAGTATAGTCATTTTGTATTCTCTTGCAGATTTGTATTCCTAGTATCTTGGTAAGAATAAAATTGTAAAACCTGATAACTTTAGAAAAATGCATTTTTTTAATACAATAAGTACCACGTGATACATTTATACACTTTTTAGAGATTTAGATTAATATATTTTTCTTGGTTTCATTTGAATCATATAAACTTTGCTCTTAACCAGTTATGCTAATTAAATTTAGAACATTATATATTCTCTTTTGGTAAGAGGAGGAGATATTGTAATACAGATAAATCTCCCTAATTTTTACTCTCAGTAAAGTGTGAAAGAAACACAAAATTGATGTTGATTTACTGAAATCAGATTTAAAAAAAAATAAGTTTGTATAAGATATAAGCATAGGAAATTACTTGTAATAAAAATAAAACAAATAATGGTAAATCTTTCACCAGTGACCTTATAATAGTTTAAGTTTCTGTAAAGGCTTTATTAGGTGTGAATTAAGATTTTCTGACATTTTATGTGTGCTTTCTTTCCTATGCTCTCAGAAATTATATTTATTAGATGTGCTGCATTTACTTACAGCTGGTATTATAAATTGCTGGGTAAGAATTTTTAGAGAAATGTAAAGTAGACTTTTAGGTTAACATGTTACTTTCTACTTTTTGAGACCTATTTCGTTTGTTAGGATACTACCTCAAAATAAATATTTTATTTTATTTTATTTTTTCAAAATGAATATTTTAAAGTTGTATTTTAGAGTTACTTATTTGAGTTTGTGGGTTTAAACAGTGCAGCTTTTATTATAGGGTACATGTTTAGCTAATTAATTTGAAATTTCTTTTTGTAGGCTTGTCTTAACCCATCTCTTGAAGTGGTTCCCACCAGGAACCCAGTCAAGTGCAACAAAAGGGCAACTGACTCAGTCCATCCTGACCTTGCTGGTTTGTTGGTGAAAAACAAGAATCTTTTAGCTGAGGTATATGGATTACTTGAAAATAAAACACCACAGGAAATTATATCCTCTGTAGGGAGAGAAACATTCTGATAAAAATCTCCAAGTATTATCTAAACTCAGTTTGCTTTTTTCCCTTCAATACTGAACCCTTTTATCACTGAGGGGCACTAATGTAGATCCGAATCTATCTNAACCCTTTTATCACTGAGGGGCACTAATGTAGATCCGAATCTATCTTTTGCCAGAGAAATCCCTTTGGAGATGGTACATGTTGCTGCTTTTGAGTGACTACTGAATGACATAGGAACTGCCATTCTCAAAATGTACATAATAATAATCTGCCTGTGCATGCTCAGTTGTGTCCGACTCTTTGTGACCCCAGGGGCTGTAGACCACTAGGCTTCTCTGTCTATGGAATTTCCTAGACAAGAATACTGGAGTGGGGTGCCATTTTCTACTCCAGGGGATCTTCCCAACCCAGGGATTGAACCTGTGTCTTTTATGTCTCCTGCACTGGCAGGCAGATTCTTTACCACTGCGCCACCTGGGAAGACAATAGTTAGATGTATTAAGCATTTTTCAATGGAAAGGATTAGTTCTCACTTTCAGTAAAGTGCCAAATGGCAAATATCTACTAATCTTGTTAAATACTTGATGAAACATCTGAGTAGTATCAACAGATGAAAAAGAAACCACATTTGTAAGAAGTGCCTTGACTTTGCCTTTGATACCCTGCAATGAACTAAAGGATACTTGCAGGAATTTTTTAGCTGAACTCTAGTACCCTAAAATATTTGTTGCAAGAGATTGATAATCAAGATTGGAATCCCAAGGCCATTGTCGTTGTTAAAGGTAACATAAGGTGGATGCGAGTCTGTATTGCTTCTATGGTTATCTTTAAGTAAAATGTTCTGAGTGCTTTTATTGTGGGACAATAATGCCTTCTGAATAAATAGCTATCTCTTTCTTCTATATTGGTTTGCTTGGGCTGCCGAACTAAAGTGCCATGGACTGGCTGGCTTAGATAACAGAAATTTACTTTTTCATAATTCTGGAGGTGAGAAGTCCAATATAAGGTGTCAACAGGTCTAGTTGCTTCTTTTTAATGTGTTCCCCAGCTTTATTGCCATATAACTGACATAACATTGTGTAAATTTAAGATGTACAGTGTGGTGATTTGATGTACATATGTGTTGTGAAATGATTACCACAATAAGGTTGGTTAATAACATCCATCCATCACCTCACATAATTGCTTTTTTTTTTTCATGATGAGATGGTTAGTTTCTTCTGAAGCCTCTCTCCTGGGCTTGTAGATGGTCATCTGTTTTCTGTGTCCTTACTTGGTCACTGTGTCCAGGGGTTTATGTCTATCTCTAATTCATAAAAAGCCTTTAAACAGATTTAAAGAAAATTTGTAAGCTATTCATATAGAATGAATTCTATTCATATAGAATTTCCAAGTACTTCTTAAAAGCAATTTTTTACATGTACACAAAGCATTTGGTACCTATACATATTTTTTGTTTGTCAAAATAGATATCCAAAAGGTTCTACAAGGTCTCATTGTGAATTGATTTTAGAGGCTATATACTTGAAAAAGTATTTCATAACTCACATTACCATTTTCTAAATTTAATAAAAATCAGTGACAATTTAACTCCAAGCTTTAAAAAAAAAAAAAAATGATTCCCTGGTGGTCCAGTGGTTAGTACTCCATACTCTCCTGCCAAGGGTCTGAGTTCAGTCCCCGGTCAGGGAACTAAAATCCTACAAGCTGTGCTGCCAAAAGAAAATGGAAAAAAAAAAACTTCAATAAATAAAAAACAAATTTTAAAGAAGCCTGTTAGTTACAATAGAATATCTTCAGCTTGAATCATCTTTCCCTTTCCCAAAAACCTATTATTTAATCCTATAGTAACACAATTGTCTTGATGAGACAATTTTTCTCTTCATGCATACATTTAAGTCTTTTTGTTATAATTGTCTCTTTGTGGGACATACAAAAATAATTACCATGTGTTTCTGTCCAATAATGGAGAAACAGGTGCAAAAAACTATATTTAGGAAAAGCCAGATACAGATGAGATAAATATTAAAGAATTCAATTGGTGATTGGATTGTCTAATTTAGGCAATATGATATTGAGCTAAAACTCTTGCATAGTGCTAGGAAGGCTGCTGTAGTCATAAAAGTTAAACAGGGAATTCCCTGGTGGTCCAGTGGTTAGGACTTGGCTCTTCCACTGCAGAAGGCCTGGGTTAGATCCCTGGTCTCAGAACTAAGATCCCAAGAGCCGTGAGGCTCATCGAAGGGAGCTAACAACTTGTTAAAAAAAATTACTGATAATATGTATAATAAGGCCTACTGTCTTAAATTTAAGATGAATTTAATGTGTTTTGCCAGTATTTTAAATTTGATTTTCAAGGAAACTTCTGTTTGTGAGGGCAATATGACTATTTTTTGCAGATTTTTTTTTCCCCTTAGTGTAGTAACAAGGCAAATAATAGAAACCTGGTAAATGCACCAGTTCTGGAGGGGGTGAATGGAGGCAATATAAATTTTGCAGCTAAAGAAAAAAATCATGAGAACCAGTTATTGTTAATTTTAGTTGAACTTTTTATTGAGATAATTATAGATTCATTTGCAGTTTTAAGAAATAATACAGAGGTATTCGTTGTAAACTTTGCACATTTTCTCCCAAATTTTGCAAAACTGTAAATGTAACACCCTAGATGTTGACATTGATGCAATACAATCCACCAGTATTATTCAGGTTTCCCTGGTTTTACTTGTACTCGTTTGTGTGTATTATGTTCTAAATAATCAGTCAAAATACTGAACAATTAGTTTTAACAGCACAAAGATCCTTCACATTGCCATTTGATATGCACATCCACTTCCTTCCCATCCCAACTCCTGGCAACCACTAATCTCTTCACCATTTCTAAAATGCTGTCATTTCAAAAACGCTATATACTGGGGAAAAAAAGTTATATACTGAAAAGCTAAACATAGAGTTACCATGTGACTCAACAGTCACACTCCTAGGTAGAAACACAGCAAATTAGAAATATTTTCACATAAAAACTTGTAAATGAATGTTCATTATAGCATTTTCTGTAAAACCAAAAAGTAGACATAACACAAATATCCATTGATGAGTAAATGTGCAAAATGTGGTATATCCACACAGTAGTATATAATTTAGCCATGAAAAGGAATGAAGTACTAATTGATGTTTACATGGATGACCCTTGAAAACACTATGGTAAGTGAAAAAAAGCCAATCACAAGAGACAGCATATTCTGTGATTTCCTTTATATAAAACGTCCAGAATAGGCAAATCCATAGAAACAGAGAACAGATTAGTGGTTTCCAAGGGCTGGGTTGGAGGTAACTACTAATGGGTATGGGATTTCTTTAAGGGATAATGAAAATGTTTTGGAATTAGATCACAGTGATGGTTACACAACTGTGAATATACTAAAAACTGAATGGTATACTATAAAGGGTGAGTTTTACAGTGTATAGGTTATATCTCAATTTAAAAAGTAAAAAAAAAAAAGGTTCAATATGGCTATGCAACTCTATGAATATACCAAAAACCATTCAGCTGTGTACTTTAAATGGATAAATCTATGAATTATACCCCAATAAAGCTGTTTTTTAAAATGTTTTGCAAATAGAATCATGCATATACAACCTTTTTAGATTGGTTTGTTTCACTCAGCATAATTTCCTAGAGATTTGTTCAATCTGTTGTATCAATAGTTTGGTCCTCTTTATTGCTGAGACTGTGGTATGTATATACCACAGTTTGTTTAACCATTCACTTGTTGACAAATACCTGAATAACTTCCAGTTTTTTAGCTATCAAAAGTAAAGTTGCTATGAACATTCATGTACAGATTTTTGTGTGAACATAATTTTTCATTTCTCTGGTCTAAGTGCTCCAAAATACAATAGCTGGGTCATATGGTATTTGCATATTTAGTTTTATAAGAAACTGCCAGGCAATTTTCTACAGTATCTGGACCGTTCTATTTTCCTACCAGCAACATATGAGTGATCCAGTTTCTTTGCATCCTCACCAGGATCTGATGTTGTCCCTGTTTTGTATTTTATATATTTTAATATTAATACATAGGGAGTGTTATCCCACTGTGGATTTAATTTGCATATCCTTAATGGCTGGTGATGTTAAATCTATTTTTATGTGCTTGTTTGCCGTCCATATATCCTTTCTGGTAAAATTTCTGTTAAAGTATTTTGCCCAGTTTTTTAATCAGGTCGTTTTCTGAGAATTTAGAGTTCTTTATATTAATATATTCTATTCTAAATATCTAATATATTTATATTCTATATAAATCCTTTGTTGACAGTTTTTGTGAATTTTGGGGTACCTAAATTTTGTTAAGTTCTGAATATATTTCAGGTTTCATTATGTCCAAATCCAACATCAAGCTATTAAGAAATTTGGATTCTTTAACATAAACGATAACAGGCAGACCTCATTTATTGTGTTCCACTTTATTTCACTTCACAGATTCTGTGTTTTTTATAAATCAAAGATCTGTGGCAACCTTGCATTGAGCAGGTCTGTCAGCGTTCTTTTTCCACTAGCATCTGCTCACTTTGTGCCTCTGTGTCACATTTTTGTAACTCTTGCAATATTTCAGACTTTCATTGTTATATTTGTTGCGGTGATCTGTGATCAGTGATTTTTGATGTTACTATTGTAATTATTTTGGGGCACCATGAACTGTACCCATATAAGATAGTGAGCTTAGTTGGTAAATATTGGGAGTTTTGACTGCTCCATTTACCTGCCATTCCCTCTCTCTCTCCCTCTCCTCCAGCCTCCCTATTTCCTGAGATACAACAATATTAAAATTAGGCCAATTTATAACCTTACAATGACATGTAAGTGTTAAAGTGGTAGGAAGAGTTGCACATCTCTCACTTTAAATCAAAAGCTAGAAATGATTAAGCTCAGTGAGGAAAGCAAGTCAAAACCTGAGATAGGTTGAAAGCTAGGCCTCTTGCCCCAGACTGTCAGCTTAGCTGTGAATGCAAAGAAAGAGTTCTTGAAAGAAATTAAAAGTTTGCAGCCTCTTGTTGGAGGAAGATGCCATCTAGGGCTTTCACAGTTTGAGAGGAGAAGTCAATGCCTGGCTTCAAAGCTTCAAAGGGCAGGCTGACTCTCTCATTAGAGGCTAATGCAGTGGTGACTTTCACTTGAAGCCAATGATCAATCCCAGTCTTAGAACCCTTGAGAATTATTCTAAATCTACTTTGCTTGTGCTCTGTAAATTGAACAACAAAACCTGGATGACAGCACATTTGTTTACAACGTGGGGTAACTGAGTATTTTAAACCTGCTGTTGAGTTTTACTGTTGAGAAAAAAAGTCATTTCAAAATATTATTGCTCTTGGTCACCCAAGAGCTCTGATGGAGATGTACAATGAGGTTAAATTTGTTTTCATGCCTGCTAATACAATCTCCATGGATCAGTGGTCTGCAGTATCTCTGAGGTATGCCTGTAATGCGAGAGTGGTGTTTTTTATTTCTTTTGTAGCTCATAAAGTCATGACTTTTTAATCAAAATATTTCTCAATCACAGTTTTTCATTATACAAGCTGTAATTTTTTCACACTTTCCTGAATATTCCACTACATGTATCAAACTATCTTTTTAAAAAATTTTTATTATTTTTGCCATACATTGACATGAATCAGCCAAGGATTTACATGTGTTCCCCATCCCAGTTCCCCCTCCCGCCTCCCTCCCCATCCCATCCCTCTGGGTCTTCCCAGTACACCACAATATTTTAAAGTAATTAGCCTCCAACTAATAAAAATAAATGAAAAAAATAAAACTAAAAGCAAACAGATGAAAGAAAAAAATTTTATTATAGTTAATTTACAATGTTGGGTTAATTTCAGGTGTACAGCAAAGTGGATCAGTTATATATGTATCTACTCTTTTTTATTTTCCTGTATAGCTCATTCTAGAATATTGATTAGAGGTCCCTGTGCTATACAGTAGGTCCTTATTATCTATTTTATATATAGTAGTATGTATATGTAAAATTCAGTCTCCCAATTTATCCCTCTCCTCCTTACCCCTTGGTAACCATAAGTTTAATGCTGATGAGAATAAAATTACTTATTCCAAATCTTTTGTATCAATTTGATATGATTTTTTAAAATTTATTTATTTTTGGCGGTACTGGGTCTTTTGTTGCTGCACATAGGCTTTCTCTAGTTGTGGCTCACAGGCTTTGTTGCCTCACAGCATTTTGGGGATCTTCTCAGACCAGGGATCAAACCCATGTCCCCTGCATTGCAAGACAGATTCTTAACCACTGGACCACCAGGGAAGCCCTGGTAAGATTTTTTAAGCATGTTTAATATTGGAATCTACTGTTAGGAGATTCAAAAATCCTCATTTTATTGTGTAATGTATAATTTAAGTGCTCATAATGATTTTAAAATCATGGATTTTCTAAAGCCAAAATTATAAATGATTTTAAAATAACACTTGTCTTTTCTCATTAGCTAAGAAATCTTCGAAACAAACTTTTCATAAAAGAAACTTCATTGCAAGAGATGAAGAGTGAGCTAGAAACTTACAAAGAAAATAATGTGCAACAGTCATTCCAGATAATGTCCCTGAAAGACGATATCAAGGACTTAGAGGAACTTATTGCTTCTCTAACCAGAATTAAATCTTTGAAAAACACCAGTATTCAGAGTCTTGAAAGAGGCAACTGGGATCTAACTGAAAGAATTACAGAACTAGAAAATCTTCTAAGGTAGGGAATTTTCTGGTTTGTTTTCAAAAATGTCATTCATTTTTCATAAGCTTACAAATACTATTTGAACTTCATACTCCTGACCACAAAATTTAAATCTAACAAAATTAACATACCTGACTCAAAGTTAAATTTTTAATTGAGATATAATTTCCATTCCATTAAAATTCACCCTTTTGCAGCATACAGTTTAGTAGTTTTTAGTATATTCACAAGGTTGTACAAACATCACCACGCTCTAATTCTAGAACACTTTCATCAACCCCTAAAAATATCCATGTCTACTAATAGTTACTCCCCAGTCCACTCTCTCCAGTTTCTGACAACCAGCAGTCTACTGTCTTTCTCTATGGGCTTGCCTTTTCTTGACATTTCATATGAATGAAATTGAATGAAATGTCACAATATATGGCCTCTGTGTCTGACTTCTTTAATTTAGCACAGTGTTTCTAAGATACATCAATATTTAGCCTGAATCAGTACTTAATTTTTTATGGCTGAATAATATTCTGTTATAAGGGTATACCACATTTTGTTTGTCCATTCATCAGTTGATGAACACTGGGTTGCTTTCTTTGCAAGGGACTTTATGAATGAGCTGTTATATACATTGTTGTGTGAACTCTTACATGACTGTAAGTTTTAGTTCTCTTAGTTAAATGCCTTAGGAGTAGAATTGCTGGGTTGTAAAGTAACTCTTTGTTTAGCTGAGCAACTTCCAGGCTGTTTTCTAAAAATTTTTGATGAAGCTTACCTTTTTTTCTTTTGTCATTTTGTGTCTTTGGTGTTATAGCAAAGAAACCTAATCTAGTATCACAAAGGTTTACACATATGTTTTATTTTAACAGTTACTGTTTTAATACTTAAAATTTTATCTTTGATCCATTTTGACTGATTTATTTATTCATTTATTTTTGGCTGGCTGGTTCTTCATTGCTGTGTGCAGGCTTACTCTAGTTGCAGTGAGAAGAGGCTACGATGTGTGGGCTTCTCATTGTGGTGGCTTTTCTTGTTGTGGGTGTGTGGGCTTCACTAGTTGTGGCTTATGGGTTCAATTAGCTGCCCCATGGCAAATGGAATCTTCTCAGACCGGAAGTCAAACCTGTGTCCCCTGAATTGGCAGGTGGATTCTTTTTTTTTTCCCATTTATTTTTATTAGTTGGAGGCTAATTACTTTACAATATTGTAGTGGTTTTTGCCATACATTGACATGAATCAGCCATGGATTTACATGTGTTCCCCATCCCGATCCCCCCTCCCGCCTCCAGCATTGAAACAAGTATACTATCAAGGGTGAAACAGATCACCAGCCCAGGTTGGATGCATGAGACAAGTGCTCAGGGCAGGTGGATTCTTAACCACTGGACCACTAGGGAAGTCCCCACCACTTTCTTTTAGATTAATCAAGTTTTTATTACTGTTTTTCTCCTGTGTTATTTTTAAATATCTTTTAAATTATCATTAACTTTTTACCTTAGACCTTGTGATTACAATTAAAGTCTAGATTAGTACTATTATGTTATCTGAAAATAGAAATCTTATAACAATGTAACTCTACTTACCCATCTTATGCTCCTGTACTATTGTTATGATACATTTTACTTTTCCAAATGTTATAAATCTCATAAGATATTAATTTTCAGTATTAATTTTTATTGACCCACACACTCACTCCTGGTCCTCTTCATTCCTTTCTGTATAGCCACCAGGGATGGTTTTCCTTTATTTTGAAAAATTGCCTGTAATTTTTCTGCAATTTAATGCAGTTCTTCTAAGGATGAATTTTTCCATTTTTCCTTCTGAAAGAGTTTTTTTTTTTTTTTTTTTTTTTTTAAACTGAGTATAGAGCTCTAGGTTGCCAGTATTTTTTCTTTCTGCACTCTAAGGTATTCTTCAGTTCTTCTGACTTACATAGTTTCTCTTTGAAAAGCCGGTGTTCAGTCTCATAGCTATATGTTAGAAGGTAATATATGCTTTTTCTCTGACTTTTAATTGGTAGAAATTTGATGATTATATATCTTGGTGTGGCGCCTTTGTATCTATCCTACTTTGGATTTGCAGAATTTACTTAATCTATCAATTGATGTTTTTCATCAGGTTTCAAAAATTCTTGGGAAGTATTTTTTAAAGTATTGTTTCTATCTCATTCTGTGTCTACTCTCATTCTAAGGCTATAATTATAAGCAGTGACCTTTTGAGTGTGACCTACATGTCTCCAGTATAATTTTATTGAATTATATTTTCTCTGAGATAATTCAGATATTTTCTTTGACCTGACCCATATTCACTAATTCTGTAGGATGCAAATCCTCTATAGAAAAGAATATAACAAACATGGAAGGTGGACTGAAACTTTAACTTAGCTTCAAGGTAGAAAATATTATCAAACCTATCAATTGTTAATCAAAATAAGAACCAAATAATTAGCTGTTTGTATTTGATAATAAAACAAGTTTTTACATATGCTGTTTTCTATTGTACCATTTCTAATTTCTTTACCTTTCTTGAAACTCTATTCAGGGATTCAGTTGGAGAGCCCATGAGGGTGTTCTAAAATGGGAATACAGTTGTCCTTCATTCCTTGTGCCTCAGTGTCTGCAGGGGATGTTTCTAGGACCCCTGAGACTACCAAAATCTGCACATACTAAATCCTTTATATAAAATAGTACAGTATTTGCATATAACCTATGCACATCTCTTGTGTACTTTAAATCAACTCTAGATTACATGTAATAGCTAATCCTATGTAAATGGTTGCTGGTGTAAGACAAATTTAAGTTTCGCTTTTTGGAACTTTCTGAAAAAAAATTCTTTTGAATAGTTTCAATCCATGGTTGCCTCAATCCATGGATGTGGAACTTGCAAATACAGGCCCATGGTACTTGTACCCATGTGGAACCTCCTGATCATCACAATATTATCATAGTAGCAGAGACATATTCATACTCAACTTTCCTCTTGAAAAAGAGTGGTTTCAAAATTGACCTCTCCCAGGGGAACTACTACAGACTTAACATTGAATCATTCTCTCCATTTCTCTGCCATTTCTCATCTCTTCCTAGAAATAATCTGGGAACTTGCACAGCTCTTTTCATAAGGAATACATTTTTACTTGATATACATATTTAATTTGTTTTAAATGGGAATATTTCTTATTATTTGAAGTTTGAAAAATTGGTTTCATGATATTGTTACCTGCCAATATCTTACACAGAGTACATCTGATTGAAAGAAAAAGAGCAGAGCAAAAAGCAGACCTTTTGGAGAAAAAGTTAGCAGGTGCTAACAGATTCACCCCTTATATGAGTATGAAAGAACAAGAAGATTCCTTGGATGGTTTCATGACAAAGGTGAGAACAAATTTTGATTGATTTTTGAAGAAAAAGAATTTTTGTTACTTTATGTTATTCCAAGCGATGAGTGGCAAATGTTGAGTGGTCTGTTGGTCCTCTTCTTGTGGAGGATAAAAGGAAGCAGCACAGCACGGTGAGCTGAAAGCATTTCTGAGGTATGGAGAGAAAGTGCAAGGCAGATCTGAAGGTCTCTGTGATACTAAAGAGGAGGTGAGAGGGAATGGAGCTGTGAGAGAACTGGGACGAGGTGGTGGTTAGAGAGTGAAATATTGAAGTTTTAAATTTCTGGTATGGGGTAGCTCCTGCTGCTGACAAAATCTGGGTTTTCGGATTTGGGTATAAGGATTGAATAGGGGTATAGAAGAAAGTCATTGAAACTGAGGCACAAGGGTCACAAAACTAAACTGGCGGATCATCTACACTGGATACTGAAATCTAGATGTATGCATGAGTTGGGTTCAGAAGGAAGAGGTTAGCCTGGTCCCTAGTAGATAGCAATTCACAGGATGAATAGAAGTTTTATGGAGGAATGTTGAAGGAGGATGGGAGATGAATTGCTGTCAAGGAAGTGGTAAAAGTTTATTCTGAAATCATAGACTATAATTGTTTACTATATGCATGCTAAGTTGCTTCAGTCATGTCTGACTCTTTGCAACCCCATGGGCAATAGCACGCTAGGCTTCTCTGTCTGTGTAATTTTTGAGGCAAGAATACTGGAGTCGGTTGTCACACCCTTCTCAAGGTTTATAATATTCTGAATGTAAAATAAGGTCCATCATGATCCAATTAATATGAGGGGTTCCACTTAAAAAATTCAGCAACTACTTTCGGAGTTTAAAGTAATTCCAATTTTTAATTACCTCTTTCAAGTAATTCACAGTAACACTTTCTATGTTTTTCACTTCTCTGTTATATCTCTGAAAAACTCTCCCACACCAGTCTGTGTAGCTCTGACCTTTTCTTCTACTTCTCTTTTATTCTACCTGTTTTTTTCCCCCTAGGTTTTAGTGAGACAAACCCATCATTACTTCAACAACTCTAGCTCTCCTATCTCCCAGTTTCACAAGACAAAAAGTCCAGAAAGTAAACTTATTTACTCAGTTTTCAGAATTGAAGGTGAAAAGAATTTATAAAGGCAGAATCTTCCTGGGAGAAGTAGGGTGAAGCAGTAGTATTGCGTGATCTTTTATTTTTTCCTGTTTACAATGAAAGCAGGGTGCTTACAAGGGAAAGGTTGGGGGAAAGAAATGTGACTTATTTATGACTTTACATTATCAAAACTGTTACTATTAAATGATGTTCTATAATCATAATTAAGTCTTTATGAAAATATCCATTTCCCTGACAACTTTTCACTTAGTCTTAGCATTCATTGATGATCCTTGCCTAAATCAGTTATTTTATTAGGAGAACCAAAATGCTGAGCTGTGAAATTCTATCATTCCTTCTACATTTATTACCTCAAAATATTCTGTAAACAGTTCCTTCATAAACTGGAGCAGTTGGTTAGCCACTTCTCTAAGGTAAACTTCCTGTGTTCTCAAAATACTTTCTCCATAACATCACTTTTTTTGCCCTTCCCATATGCCCCCCAAGAGGTATTTTAATACCTCTTGATGTTCTAGTTTACTCTTATGAGTATGTTCTTATCTCTCTTATAACTCTGTAACTCTTTGTTTCTATAGAGAGCCTTTTCTCCTCAAGTTCTGTGTTTTGACTATACTTATATTTCAAAAGGGCAGAAATAGATGTCTCGATATTAAATTCCAAATGAGAAGTTTAACACGTGTGTTGGTATATTTAGGATAAGGATGAAGCTATCCTGTTTGAGAGAGACAACACTTTTTGCTCTGAAGGACCGAAAGATGGACAGAAAATTTGGGATAAGTGTCAACAAGATTTGATCCATAAGGAAAAACAAATACCTGAGTTAGATATACCTCCACGTTCATACAACTGGGAAACTAAAACAGCGCGATCCCGCTATCAGAAATTCCTCAGTCAGCTGTCTGCTCTTCCCAGCAACAGTGTTGAACCCACACCAGCCATAGAGGAAGCTGTGAAAGAGAGCATTCTGGAGACTGGTGCAAATGATCAATCTTGGAAGTCTGTAAGTGTATCAACAGATGAGTTTTCAAACTAGTTTTAAGATGTGGATTTTGATGTTAATTTGGTAAACCCTGTGGCTCTGATTTGATTACTATAGTGATAAGAGGGACGAAGATGTCCATCACAATAGGGGTAATATAGTGTGTTTAAGAGCAGAGAGGCCGGATATGAATTCCAGCTCTGCAATTACCAAATATGTGCTCTTGGGCAGGTTATTTATGCTCTCTGTGCCTCAGTTTTGTAAATTTTGGCAGGAGTGGGAGTGGGTTTGGGGGGGATATAGTTCGGGTACCACAGGATGGTTGTAAGGATTAAATGGATTAATACATAATAAATGCTTAGTACAGGTCAGTGTAAGCTCAATGAATGTTAGTTTAAAAATAGTGATGTGGTGAGGATAATGTTTCTGTCATGACCAAACACTGGTCAGTTTAGTCAGTGCAGTGAAGTAAATTATCAAGTCAGTCATTTGTGTGAATATACTGGTCAAGTCTATCAAAAGATTGATCCAGCAAGTTCAAGTGGATATATCTCCTGTTATGTTCAAATTATTGCAGTAAAATTTCATCACTGTTCATCCTAACATTCAAATGAAAATAGGTATTGCTTAAATTCAGTGTGTTAGTGGAGAAGGCAATGGCACCCCACTCCAGTACTCTTGCCTGGAAAATCCCATGGACGGAGGAGTCTGGTAGCCTGCCGTCCATGGGGTCTCGAAGAGTCGGACATGACTGAGCGACTTCACTTTGACTTTTCACTTTCATGCGTTGGAGAAGGAAATGGCAACCCACTCCAGTGTTCTTGCCTGGAGAATCCCAGGGACCGGGCAGCCTGGTGGGCTGCCATCTGTGGGGTTGCACAGAGTCGGACACGACTGANAAGCATCAATTCTTCGGCGCTCAGCTTTCTTTGTAGTCCTACAACTCTAACATCCATAAACGACTACTGGAAAAACCATAGCCTTGACTAGACGGACCTTTGTTGGCAAAGCAATGTCTCTGCTTTTTAATATGCTATGTAGGTTGGTCATAACTTTCCTTCCAAGGAGTAAGAGTCTTTTAATTTCATTACTACAATGTTGACATAAGTAGAACTTGCACATAGTTTTGAAAATAGAAATCATGGACCATTGGGATGTTTTATCTATTTTTTTTTTTTTTTTCCCTACAGAGAGCTGAAGTCCTCCAGCAGGAAATTCAGATGCTCACTAAGCGATTGGAGAAGCAATCTCATCACTCTGAAGAAACTGCTAGAGGACTATCCGACATTGAGAAAAAGCATACGGAACAAAAAAGACCCTTGAAATGTCTGGAAGGAAAAATTGCTATTAATGACCTTTTTCAAGGGAAATTAGATTTGGACATGAACAAAGTAAGAATTTCCTGAAGTATAAGGCATTTTTTTTGACAATGAAAATGATCATCCTATATCATCTAATGTTCAAAGCTATTTATGCTATTTGTACTTTTTTAATAGTGGGAAAGGGAGGAAATTTTGCTACAAATTTTGAACCTTCTGATTTTATCAAAAAACCTCTCCTTATTCCATATCTCTCATTTTTCTACTGTACACATTTGATATTTATTGTAAGGGCATTTGTTGATATATATATTTTTTAATTGGAGGATAATTGCTTTACAATGTTGTAGTGGTTTCTGCCATACATCAGTGCGAAATCAGTAATAATAATACAGATATTCCCTTCCTCTTGAGCCTCTCTCCCGCCCATTCCACCCCTCTAAATCATCATAGAGCGCCAGGCTGGGCTCCTTGTGTTATACAGCAGCTTCCTGCTAGTTACCTGTTTTACACAGGGTAGTGTATATATGTCAGTGCTGCTTTCTCAATTTGTCCTACCCTCTCCTTCCTCCACTGTGTCCACCAGTCCACTCTCTACATCTGCCTCTCCATTTCTTCTCTGTAAATAGGTGCATCAGCACTATTTTTCTAGATTCTATATACATTAATAAACAATGTACTCCTTAATATACTTTTAAAAAAAGATTAGAGGGAAATGAATTCAAAGGAATGACTCTCTAAAGATGGAATTTTAGCTACCATATCAGATATGGTGGGCATTGGGAAGGGACTGTTGGTGAAATTCCTCAATAATTACCTTATAGGCCATTTCCTTTTCTACTTTTTGCTTCTCTGCATCTATAAAGTCAATCCTAAAAGTGGAATGGGAATAGGTAGGATGTTTTTCAGGAGATCTTGATTCTATTTCACTACCTCTTCACAGAATTGCTTGTCACACCCATACCCATGCTATACTATTTCTATACTTGCTGTGCCCCAGAGTATAAACTCACTCACTCACTAACGACTCAGGCCAGTCAATCCATTCATTCATTCATTCATTGACCCCATATAGTTTGATCACTCAGTTTTTAAAAACTTCCAGCACTTGGTACAGTGGTATTGGCAGTGCACTCCAGAGCACAAAGATGAATCCAGCGTCTCCCTCTGCTCTTGAAAATGTGGTTGACAATGATTCATTTCCACATAAAAAATTTAAAATTTATTATGTTAAAGTTTAAGAATATATAAACAGCACATGCTTTCCACAACCCTTGAAACAATGCTAAAAGATTTGGTGAAAATAATAACAATCTTCTCTAACCCTCTTTCTGCCTATTTCACCTCAGTAACCAATGTATCTATATCTTCTATAACTATTGCAGTGATTATGGAAATAATGAGTATATACATATATGTTAATGTTGACATTTTTACAAAATTGGGACTGTACTAGTCAAAATACTCATCTTACTTTGATAAGTAAGTACTTCATGGTCTTTCCTTAGATCCAAAGATACAGGTTTAACTCGTTCCTTTACAGTTGCATAATATTCCATACTATATATATAACTTATTTAACCAGTTCCCTATTAAGAACTATTGATGGTCATTCTCTTATTCCTACTTTTTATGCCACTACAAATAATGCTGAAATAAGTATGTTCATACATATATATTTCCACGCTGGTGCTTTCTCCCTCTCTGGGTGGGTGTGTGTGCTCAGTCACTTAGTTGTGTTCTACTTGGCTACCCCATGGACTGTAGCCCACCAGGACCCTCTGTCCATGGGATTTTCCAGCAGGAATCCTGGAGTGGGTTGCCATTTCCTAGTCCAGGGGATCTTCTCAACCCAGGAATTGAACCCTCATCTCTTTGCATCTACTGCATTGGCAGGCAGATCCTTTACCGCTAGCGCCACCTGGGAAGCCCCCTTTCTCTATGGGATTGAGTTCTAAATGTGTTCAGTTAGTGTATGAGTTCAATACAGTGTATGAGTATTTTTTTTTCCTTTGGTTGCACCACATAACTTGCAGGATTTTTGTTCCCTGACCAGCAATCAAATCCAGGGCCCTAGCAGTGAGAGTGCTGAGTCCTATCCACTGGACCACCAGGAAGTTTCCTCAGTATTTAAAAGTTTAATGGCTTCCCTGGTGACTCAGATGTAAAGAATCCACCTGCAATGCGGGAGACCTGGGTTCAATCCCTGGGTCAGGAAGACCCCCTGGAGAAGGAAATGGCAATCCACTCCAGTATTCTTGCCTGGAGAATCCCATGGACTGAGAAGCCTGGCAGGCTACAGTCTATGGGTCGCAAAGAGTTGGACACAACTGTGCGACTGAGCTCATGCACATGTACGCATGCACCACCTTACTGAATTTACTTATGAAGTTCAATAATTTACTAGAGTTCTAGGGATTTCTCGATACAGTTGAATATTATATTGTTTTATAGGAAACTGTGTATTTCTTTTAGGTTTTCAACTTATTGCCACTGAGTTACAAAGTAGTGTTTAGAATTCTTTTCATGTTTTCTATATCTGTGTATTCTGTATGTTTCTCCTTTCTAATATTGTGTGTTTTCACTTTCTCTCTTTCCTCCTTAACCAGACTTGCCTGGGACATCTATTTTATCTTTCCAAAGAACTAATGATTCTTTTTTATATACATTTTACCAGTTTAGTTTTGATGTATACATAATGAAAATATATGGTATCTTTATTAAATCTATACCCCTTGTTTCTCTTTTTCCTTATGTGAATATGCTCTTTGGTGGGGGGGTTTCCCTTGTTTTAATTCATAAAAACAGCAAAGGCTGTAAATATTCCTCTGTAAGTTGTTCAGTATATTTTTATATGAAGTTCTTTCACTGCATTTTATAAATGTTTATAATTTTTCTATTAATTTTCATTTCTTCTTTGAGCTGCAGTTATTTAGGAGAATTTTTTTTATCTTTTACACTTATATGTATATATTATACATACATATATTTTAAAAAAATTAAATATACCACATGTCTTCTATTGAAAAGCAGCAGCCCATTTCTGTACTTTCACCTATCCTATTTCCCAGAGGGAACTACTTTTAACCATTTTAGCTATTGCTTCTGGTAGTAAACTCCATTTTCTTAAATAATTTGCTTATATTGCTATGTGTGCTGTGCTGTGCTTACTCAGTGCTCAGTCATGTCCAGCTCTTCGCAACTCCAAGGACTGTAGCCTGCCAGGTTCCTCAATACACGAGGATTCTCCAGGCAAGAATACTGGAGTGGGCTGTCATGCCCTCCTCCAGGGTATCTTCCCAACCCAGGAATTGAACCAGGATCTCCTGCCTTGCAGGTGGATTCTTACCAGCTAAGTTACCAGGGAAGCCCTTATATTGCTATGTCTTGAGTTATTTGTTTTAGACATTATCTGTTGACTTCCTATTATATGATAGATGAAGGTTTATCTCTTTCCCCCTCCACCTTCTATCGTCCCAGTATATCTATGTCAGTATTTTTAGCTAAATCCATAATCAGCATTTACTTCACTATGACACTAAATAATGTTTACAAAATGCCCAGTATTATACTCTTGTGACATTTCCTTTCTTGTAGTAGTGTGTGTTATTTTTCCTAGAGTTAATACTTTTCTTGTATTTTCATATGTATAATTTTCAACATTCACTTATTAGTTCTTCCCCAATACTATGTCAGATGATCTTATAATCTACAAAAATCTCCCATTCTTTCTCATCCAGACTCCTTAATTCTCTTGCATCAGTCTGGACTGTTTGCTCTGTGGGCCTGGGCACAGATATAATCCTGTAACTTTTCTTCTCCAGTCTCTTGGTTAGGTTGCACTGTTTCCTGAATCTTTTGTCTTCCTTTCTTTTGATTAACTTTCTTATTTTGCTGGGGTACATCTTCTAATAGATTTCTAACAAATGGTATCTTGGAGGGAAAAAATTCTGTGAATAACTTACAAGGTCTTTTTGTTGTTGTTTACCTTCAGGATCAGTTGATAGTTGGGTTTAGACTTTATTTTCACACAGAGATTTGAAGGCATTACTCCATTGTCTTGTGATTNGAAATATTGCCATTTGTCACAATATGAATGGACCTAGAGAGTATCATACTAAGTGATGTCGAACAAAGACAGATATTATATGGTATCACTAATATGTGGAACCTAAAAAGTAATATAAATCAATCTATTTACAAAACAAAAATAGAATCACAGACATAGAAAACAAACTTACAATTACCAAAGGGGAAAGAAGGGGACAAAGATAAATTAGGAGCATGGGATTAACAGATACACACTGCTGTGTATAGACTAGATAAACAACAAGAATTTACTTATAACACAGGAAACAATAGTCAATATCTTATAATAACCTATAATGGAAAATAATCTGAAAAATAATATATGTGTAACCGAATCACCTTACTGTGTACCCGAAATACTGTAGTCAACTATAATTTCAATAAAATTTATATATTAAGGAAAAAAACCCAAAAAGAAATATATTAATTCTTAATACATGAAATGTATTAATTAATCACATGTAATTTAATTATTTTTTGACATTTGTATTTCTGCATGTTATAAATAATGTTGTAGAGGATATCTTTCTGCTTGAGTCTTTATCTAAATATTTTATTATTTCCTAATCATACCTTATTAGAAAAGTTAAACTAATACATGCTATCACGTGGTGTTTATAAATTGTCTGCTTAAATGTACCCTTGTTAGCATTAAGCCATCACTTTTACTGTCATATTTTATTTTCTGAATTATTATAATGCATATTTATGGTGAAAACTATCCTATTTATATAAGAATTAAGTCTATAATTTATCAATCTAGAGTAAATCTGGTATGCTAATGTGTAATACCATCTTAAAGCATAGCTTCTTTATTTCAATACTGTTGATTTCTGTAAAGGAAAACTCTCAATCTAAGATTTCCCAGGTGGATAAGCATGGCAAAACATTCAAGCAGCTAGGGAAAGACAACAAGCAAGAAACATTACTGAATATTCAGCAGAATTTTCAGACTGTTACAACTCAAAGATTAGAGGAGAAAATTCAAAAACTTCAGAAACAGCTCAGTGACTTGAAATTGTCAAATAAAAATATGAAAACTCAACTGACAAGAGTAAATATCCTTAAAGTAAGTAAAGGACGTGAGACTTTCAAAAATTCACTGAAGTTTTGTTCTGTTACTGTTTTTGCTGTAGTTTCTATTGAACTTTAAAATTATTTTACACCCATAAAAATAATATATATAATTAAACATATAGAATAATAAAGTTAGATGCTGTAAATCCACCACTCATCTTAAGAATCAGAGTATCTTTGTATCTTCACTACATCAAGCTTCAGTTGTAGTATTTCGAAAGTACATTTTATGTCTGAAACCAAAGATGCACTAGACACTTATTGATCAACTTTTTTTGCCAGTTTATCAAGAATATTTAATCTTACTGTATCCAGTTATTCTCTATTTCTGTGTTTGATTACCACAGACTAAGACTCTTGAGAACATGGAACATGTGTTAAACCTCTTTAAATCCCAAATGCCTAGTTATAAAAGTTCTCATTAACTATTGGTTATTGATTAACATAGTGGAGAAATGTCCTCTTAATTCATAAATTGTGGAATTTTCTTTTTCTACATTATCTAGCTCATAAAAGAAAAAGAGAGAGGAAGAAAGTATAAAAGCATGAGTTATCATGCATCATGCCTGTCTGTTACTTAGAAGAAATCTAATCGTAGTCTTCTCCTTGCCCACAACCTCTACCTTCATAGGACAAAACAATTGAGAAGCTCAGGGAATCTCTAAAAAAAGTTGAAGCAATGAAAGGGAAGGCAGCTATGGAAACAGACCTGAACACTACAGTACACTTTGATGAGCAAGAAGCAAGATGGGATAAAAAGAAGGTCCATCAAATGTTAGAAACTGCTACTCCTGAGCTCAGCACAGCAAAGAGCACACTTGAAGAAGTACCGGGAAAACAAGAAGAGGTTTGTTTTCTTTTAATACTATATTAAAATTCTTTAAGTTGAAATGATAAACACCCACCTCAATTTAGACTACCCTAACTTAGACAAAAGAGAATTGATTGCCTTGTGGAATCAGAGTTAAACAACCAGAGCTCCAAGAAGACAGAGAGATGCACCTGGGCTATGGATCAGCACCTGGAATCTTCAATATAAGGCCTTTGTCACCATTTCTTCTTGGCATCTCTCAGTCAACTTCTGTCTGACTGACAGCCACAGGGTTAGAGTTTCTGTGACAGGAGAGAGAATCTCAAGAAAGGGTCTTATGAGCCCTGAACAGTTTGGATGTTAGTGCTTTTCTGTTTTCTTCTCATCATAATTTTGAATGCGTATTTGCCATTTATCTATTCACTTTAAAATCCCTTTAATTGCCTTGCCCTTTCAATTTCAGGTATTTCTATTTTAGTACTAGGGGGCAGGGTTTACATACTAGGTTTCTTAACTCAATACCACCCTCTTCCGTTGACATGATGAGTGCAGCTTCTTAAAGTTTACTTAGGAAGTCAAGCCTTTTATTTTGGGGTGGGGTTTATGTGATGTCTGTTTCTGCAGTACTCTCTTGTTTATATAAGTCCCTAATTTCCAGTGCTTGCTTTTTCCTTTTCCTTTATCACGAAGCCTCCTCAGAAACCTTGCCCTCTAGATCTGCCTTTTCTGCTCTCACATACTTTTATGCACCTTTCTTTTCCTTCCACAGACACCAGTGTTCTGATCTACCAGTTCTGCCTTATTCTTAGTATTTCCTCCTTTGTGAACTGTCCCAAATCTGGGACACCGGAGGAATCTAGCTGCATACTCCAGCTTGGGTTCTGAACTAGCCTTTGCTGGTTTAGAATATTTATTTCCCCACTTACATGCAGAATGAAGTCTGTGGTAGTCTCTACTTGTGCTTTAGGCATGATTTATGGATGATTTTATCTACTCTCCTATTGATCACTATAGTTTTTAGAGAATGGGTGGAGAGAGATGTACTTCGGGGACTCTATTACCTACAGCAAATCAGAAGCCTCCAAAATAATTACCTCATGGATGAAAAACAAGCAGCAATAAAATTAAGTTTATCCTATAATATTATAAAACTAAAAACAAATCTTAAAATATAAAAGTAAGTTTAGATTTCTTATAATAGAATTTTTTTAGCTTAAAAATACATTTGAATGTAGAATATGTTATACTTCATAAAGAAATGTTTAATAAAGCTAAATTTCTTAATACTTCATTGTACATAGTAAGGTGATCAACTCATGACATATCTTGATTTTTGGGGGGTGGTTCTTTGTAGCTTGTTGACTTTCGAGAAACTATTATGAAGATGTTGGGCTTTAACATGAAAACAGCAGACAAGAAAATCATCAATCACCTAAGGCTTATTATACAAGTATATGAAGCATCTGACAAGTCAAAGATGGCTTCTGAGCGTGAGACTGGACAGGATAATGAATAAAGAATTTCTGCCAACAAGAACTCACAAATATGGACATTTCCTCTAGCATCTTGAATATGGTTACATTATGAATAAAGTTCATTTGAAACTTTTCAGTTAAATCTGTTCTCTCCTTTGATATTTGGCAAATCACTTTTCTTTGTTGCAATCATGTTCTGTACATTTATTTGTGGTCTAGTCTGGATTGTTATTATAATGTATAGTACCTAATTATATTTATTACCTGTATTTTAAGCAGAACTAGCCCTTAGTTGGAATATTCGTATCTACGTTAATGGCTTGTGTCTAGAATGAATGGTTTTTTGGGGTATACCCCCTTATGAATCTAGGTAAAGTTACAGTCTATAATTTGAATCTATTTTATCTATTTGAGTAACTGAGAGTTTGAAAATCAGATATGAAATGTTGAAAGGTAGGAAACTCATTAAGAATTATTAATAATGTGCAAGATGATAGTTTATTTTTCTTAGTTAATAGTGTCTGCCAGTGTTTTCCTAATTGTAGATAGATCTGTAAGTTAATGATGTTTTAAAACATATTATTTCTAAATTTTACTTAGAACAGGAAACTGTTCATCTTTACAAGATAGTTTTAGATTTATCCAAGATGTCCTCTGTAGGAACAGGTCAGAATCTGGACAGGCCTGTGGACACTCAGTGCCTGCTGTTGTCATTTGAAAAGATCTCCTGTGGGGCTTAGTTTTAGAGGGATCTTCAGGGTGGAAGAAGTGATGTTACACTGGACCTTATAGTAGTAACACTTTGGGAGAAAATGATTCTCTTGAATACTCATTCAAGGAAAAGATGAGTCAACTTCTAAAATGCTCACAGCCATGGTTCTCAAATGTGTGCCAAGGCACTCTGGAGCACTGCAAGATCTCAGCATGCCATGGAGTGTTTAAAATTTTAAAGGGAAACAGTGACATTTGACACTTGTCAGGAAAGTACTTGAACTACTAGCTCCTACTAGTTTATAGTTTGAACACTGGCTCACTCTTCATTCCTTTTGATGACAGATATTTTTAATAAAAACTGCCCAGGGCTTCTGAGGACTTTTGAATTTGTCGCCAAGTGGAGGTCAGCAGTTGGTGGTATCATTACCAAGTAAGGTAATTCCAGGATCCCTGGAGGCAATGCAAGAGATTCACTTACCTTTTTTTCTGAAGACTGTCCTTAAGGAAAGGTAGGGACACCCTGCGCAGAGCCTCCACCTACAGCCCAACCTGCTCAAGCTCTAAGAAAACCACCTTGTTCAGGATTCCCCCAGGGTCAGTGGTCGGGGGGTCAGGTGACTGCTCCAGTCTCAGCTTCTAAGAGCTGGAAGGATAGCACACCCCCATGAGCCTGACAAGCTGCCGGACCCCTTCCTCCAGCCCCCCTTTCTGAGGAACTGCAAGTACTACCAGTTCCAGGGTCAAGTTCTCCATGAATGTGAACAGTGGCAAGGTCTGGCAGTCTCAAAGAGTCAGTTCATAAGCATGTAAAAGAAAATTCATCTTTAAGTACAGAGTCCTTAGTCTTAAGGCTCCTTTATGAATTGTGTTAATAGAAACTGTTCAACCACAGAGCACTGTATAAGGTCAGCTATGTTAGCTCTGAGCAGAGGAGGGAGAGGAACCTTTCCAGTACCTAGAACAAGTCTTCTAGAACTGCTTTTATCTTGTGACCAAATTGCTGCCACTCTGTTCAGTTAACGAGAAATGAATTTAGACTTAAGGATTTAGACAAGTAATTTTCAACCTTCAAGATGCAGCAAAATCATCTAATTTAAAATAATACATTTTCTGGACCTATCTGGAGATTCCAGTTCAGTGCATGTGGTGTCGGGTAAAGTATGACATGTTTTCAAATCTGTTTAAATGTATGAATTGGTAAAATTACTTTGGAAAAGTTTGGCAGTGTTATCAGTTTCCTACTGCTGCTGTAACAAGTTATCACAAATTTTGTGGCTGAATCAAATGTTTATTATGCTACATTTCTGGAGGTCTCAGAGCTATGTTCCTTCTGGGGAGGGGAGAGAATCCATTTCCTTATCTTCCCCAGCTTCTAGAAGATTTCCACAGTCTATGCTCATTGCCTTCTTCTCTCTTCAAAGCCAGGGTCTTGAGGCTTGCCAAGTCTTTCTAACACCACTATTTCTCATTCTCCTTCTGCCTCCCTCCTCCTCTCTTAAGGATTCTTTTGATTGCATCAGGCCCACCTGGGTCGATTCAAAATAAAATCCCTATTATAAGGCCAGCTGATGAGTCAGTTCTTCGCATCAGGTGGCCAAAGTATTGGAGTTTAATATTCAGGACTGATTTCCTTTAGGATGGACTGGTTGGATCTCCTTTGGAACAGTCCATTCCACTAGCTTAGGCAGGTTGCGAGTTCGCGCTACTGCGCCTGCGCATTCCTCAGCGGCTGGAACTCCGGAAGCACTAGTTTTTGTGGGGCTTTCTCTGTGAAAGCGAAAAGAGGGCGGGGGAGATACGGAGTTGACGATGACTGGCTGAGGGAAATGATTGGCTGGTGGAAAGACCATTCCAAATCGCACCTTCGTGTAGGCGGGGAACCAGCTGAATTGGGAATCCAGCCGGTAGGTGGCGGGGCAGGGGGCGGAGCCGAGGGGCGGACTCGCTGGAGATAGCCTGGCCCGCGCGGGAGCGCAACGCGGGCTGCGGGCGCAGGTCTTCCCCTGAAGGCTTCTGGCCCGGCTCCCTCGTGGGGCGCTTCAGAGTGTGGGGCTGTGTCCAGCGTTCTCGGTCCCGGCACCCTCAGACTGGCGTTGGGGCCCCCACCCCGATACTGAATCGGACGGTCTGGGTGGCGCCCCTGACTGTTTCGAAATACTTCTCGGGAGAATCTTGGCCAGGGTTGAAGCCCAGCCCGCCGTTGCCCGCCGGCGGAGCTGGAACGCTGCGTGATTTCCGTCAGGGTTCTGGGTAACCGCAGGTTGGCCAGTGAGGTGGTCAGCTTTGCAAGTCTCGATTTTGTCCGATCCCCCACGCAGATCTGGGGTTAGATGCCACGTGACCAACGAGGGCGGACACTTCCTCGTAGGCGGATTGGGCGTTTGCATAGACAGCAGGGCTGGAAGACTGGGGAGCAGTGCTCCGGTGTGGCAAGTTGAGTCCGTTGAGTGCTGTCTCTACTTGAGGAACTTGGCTGGTTTCTTAGGCGCTCAGATTACAAACGGTTACCTTGATACAGTTATGTAATTTATCTGTTACTCTGATCACGTTGCACCAAATATCTGGGTTTCTTCTACAGACCATTTCTTAGGATGGTGTAAATCAATGGCAGGGCTCATCTACTGAACTTTATTCATTTTTGTTTGTTTAGGGGTTTTGGTAGATGGCTTTTTGTTATTGTTTAGTTGCTCAGTCGTGTCCGGCTCTTGTTTTACCTTATTCTTAAATTCTGAAGGTATCATCAGTTTAGTCACTCCGTCATGTCCAACTCTTTGTGACCCCATTGGCTGCAGCACGCCAGGCTTCCCTGTCCATCACCAACTCTCTGAGCTTACTCAAACTGATGTCCGTGAAGTAGGTGATGCCATCCAACCATCTCATCCTCTGTTGTCCCTTTCTCCTCCCGCCTTCAATCTTTCCCAGCATCAGGGTCTTTTCCAGTGAGTCAGTTCTTCACATCAGGTGGCCATAGTATTGGAGTTTCAGCTTCAGCATCAGTCCTTCCAATGAATATTCAGGACTGATTTTCTTTAGGATTGACTGGTTTCATCTCCTTGTAGTCCAAGGGACTCTCAAGAGTCTCCAACACCAAAGTTCAAAAGCATCATTTCTTTGGCACTCAGCTCTTTATATTCCAACTCTCACATCCATACATGACTACTGGAAAAACCATAGCTTTGACTAGACAGACCCCTGTTGGCAAAGTAATGTCTCTGCTTTTTAATATGCTGTCTAGTTTGGTCATAACTTTTCTTCCGGTGGAGCAAGCATATTTTAATTTCATGGCTGCAGTCACCATCTGCAGTGATTTTGGAGCCCAAAAATGGTATAAGAGCCACAAATATGGAATTAGAGAATCTCTTATTAACAGTTTTATTGAGATGTAATTTACATACTATGAAATGAACCAGTTTTAAGTAAACAGTGCAATGATTTTTAACATTTATAGAGTTCTGCAACCATCACCATAATGGAATTAGGTGATTTTTTTCTCCCTGGTAGTAGTGTTTACTATTCTCAAAAGTTAGTCTAAGTGGACATTTTGGAAATACAACCTAAGAGCCTCTGAAAATATAAGTACAAGTCATTTTATACTTGAGCAGGTGAAATTAAGAGGAGAATTGAGGCAAATGTTCTTAGAAGTTGCAGGTAGTGAAACTTTTGTGTATTGTAATATGAAGTAGATTGTAATCATTCCAAGTATTTTGTTTTATGAAGAATATGGCATAAATCCCATTTTACAGATGACAAAAGAGTTTGAAGAATAAGTTGCCTAAAGCTATATATTTGTGCCTAGGCTAGGCCCCAGCCCTGGATGCTTTATCTGCCTTTGCCACCTCACTGGACTGATTCCCAATTATATATGACCTGTACAATTCATCCATTTATTGAGGAAATAATTATATAGTGACCACTATGCCAACAACAACCAAAAACACTCCTCGAAGTGCTGGAGGTACCATAGTGAAACAGCTAAGTTTCTAACTTCAGCTAATATTCTAATGAGGAGACAATGATCAATTGAAGAGAGAAAGTGAAAGTGTTAGTTGCTCAGTTGCTTCAGACTTTTTGCGACTCTGTGGACTGTAGCCCACCAGGCTCCTCTATCCATGGCAAGAATACTGGAGTGGGTTGCCCTGCCCTTCTCCAAGAGATCTTCATGACCCAGGGGTCAAACCTGGGTCTTCCACATTGCAAGCAGATTCTTTACCATCTGAACATTGAGGGAAGATTCGTGATCAACTGGAAAAAAAAGATATATATATATATATTCTAATTTTAAATATTGGGAGATGCTATTTTCTTTGTTTTGGCTATGCTGCAAGGCTTATAGAGTCATCGTTCCCCAGCCAGGGAT